GCGGGCCTGCCCCTGCAACACCCCCACCCCCACCCACCCTGGCAAAGTGCCGCTTTCAGAGGCTTCCCCAGTGCATTTCCACTGCCTATTTACCTGCTGGGCAAGCCTGGGCAAGCTTCTAAGAGCGGCTGTAAGGTGGGGATGGGGAGGGGCTGGAGCGGAGAAGATGGCAAAATGGCCACCCGCTGTGTTTTTGCCTGGATTCCACGCTTACCGGGCAGCGAAAATGGTGGCCGTATGGAGGATTTTCGCATAAAGGTGAGTTTTGTCCCCATAGGAACGCATTAAACTGAGTTTAATGCATTCCTATGGGGTTCCCCCCCTGCATAGCGATGTTTCCGGATAGCGACGTTAATCCTGGAATGGATTAACATCGCTAAGCAGGGCACCACTGTAAATTTGAAACTAACAGATTTCTTTTTCCTGCTCTTATGCCTGTATCTTTTGATTTTACAGGTATTTGGCTTTATTGCTACAATTGTCTATTGCATTTATGTCTATTTGACCTTCAACAGCCTGACAACATATCTCAAACAAGAAGGCTCTTCAGATGCCCCGGAGCCTCATAAATCAGAAGGTAGATAAAAAACCAGACTTTGATTGTTGCCAGCTATGGATACAATTTTAGAACAGCAAGGGATCTGTATTTGCTATAACTAGGTACACAGATCCTCTCCAGTGTTCCCTTTCCCAAAATCAGAATTTGCGTTTGGAATAAATTATTTCTACGTGGATGCTTGATTTCTAAATTTAAAAAGGTAGGAAGTGAAGAAAGGTAGAAAGGTGGAAGAACAAGATTTGCACCATATACAGTGGTGCCTCGTATAACGAGCGCCCCGTTTAACGACGAATCCGCATAGCAATGCGGATTTTGCGATCGCAAAAGCGATTGCTTTGCGATGTTTCCTATGGGAAAAAATCGCTTTACGATTTTTCCCCATAGGCCCCATTTCCCCCCAGCTGACCGGTGGGCGCTTCGGAGCAACCGTGGTGGAGGCTTCCCGGGCGGTCGCGCCAAAGCCAGCGCCGCCCAGCTGGGGGGAGAAGGCTTCGGAGCAACTGCGGTGGAAGCTTCCCCAGCGGTCGCTCCGAAGCCTGCGTCAGCGCCGCCCAGCTGGGGTAAAATGGCCGCCCGCAGAGTTTTCGCACCTCACTTACCGAGGCGGCGAAAATGGCAGCCGGATGGGGGATTCTTTGCTTATCGGTGAGTTTTTCCCCAATAGGAACGCATTAAACGTAGTTTAATGCGTTCCTATGGGTTCCCCGCCCGCATAGCAAAGAATCTGGACAGCGACGTTAATCCTGGAACTGATGAACTTCGCTATGCGGGGCACCACTGTAATCTCTACTGCAGTTCAGTGGAAATGTTTGTCAAAGCATCATTGACTTGGTTCGATATGGCTTTTGTGCAAGGCTGATTCCCGTAGGGACGGCCACTTGTGAGTTACTGGAACAGAGCTTAGAAATAAATTAAGGAACTTAGTGATCCAATAAAAGTACTACCCAAACAAGAACTTTGTTCGTTACATATAATTAATTTTTTAAAATGCGGTGCAACAGCTAAATATAATATAATATAAACAAAGATACTTGTGATTATTCTATAAGAACCAAACAAAATCAACAGGCAATTGTACCTTTATTAGAATCAATAGTGTGTAAGCTTTCAAGCTCTCCCAAACTCTTCACTGGGCTAGTGTTTTATACAAATTTATGGGCAAAGGAAGGGGGAAGAAGCAGGGGAGCACGTGCTGATGTGCCCTGAGACATGCTCTTGAAACTCGGTTAGAAAAGAAACAGTAAGTCTCCCTTTCTAAAAACTGAAGGTGAAGAAGCATCATTTCATTTCTAGCCCAGTGTGCAATTCTGGATCTAATATAGTACCTGCACGCACAGCAGTGATTTGTTCTATCTTACGTTTTCATTTTGGAACGGAGGTTATCATCAGACCCCATGGCCATAACAACCCTAACTAAATTTTTGGACTTCGTTGCCCTCACCACCACCATCTTTTGTTATATATAGCCCAGCCTAATGAAGAGTTCTTGAGAAATCAGAAGCTTGTGCATTTCTATTAAATTTCATTTCACTTGGTTCTAAGATTGCTTGCCTGCAAATTTTGGATTTAATTTCAAATTAATTGCTTTAATTGTAAAAATACCAGTGCTGCTATGCTTCCTTATTACTTTCGTTTGCTATTGTCCTGGAAGTTGACCTCACCTGTATAATTCCCATATCTTTAAGTGGACCTGATAAACAGACTAGGAGTTAGCTCAACTGACAAAATGCTCACTTGATGTGATCTAAATGTCCAATTCTAGCTGATAATAATGTGAGCCTCTTTTATACAAGGCAGCCACACATATAACACACTCTGGTTATGCATAGAGACAATTACAAGAACATGGGTAACTGTGGCCTTACCCAGACAGAATTGCTCATGGCATATCAGTTGAAAGAGCCCCCAAAGTCTCTTGAACCTCTTAATGCAGCATTAGAGAATCTCTAGCTATTTGAATGTCAGCATATGCCCAGTAGTAAGGGACTTGCGAGTTGAAGTCAAAGTAGCCGGAAGACCAAATCATCCTCAGTCCTGCTGGATGATTTTAAATTCTTATGTTGTAAACCTGACACTTTAGGGCAGGGATGAGTGATTTGTGGCCCTTGTAATGTTCGGCTTCAGTTCAACGACACCAGGAGGGCCACAGATTTATTTGCCCATCCTTGCTTTAGAGAGAATGGAGTTCCACTGAGAGCAGAATGAATGCCACACATCTGGGTGAATAAACCACGATACAATTCATGGTAGATCTTGTCTTATCTGGAATCAATCTCAGTTTACTTGGCCCCTCGCTATTGTATCCATGCACTGATTCTCTTGAACTGCGGCCCTTGCCTGTGTCTCATGAAAAAGCAGTGAAGCTGTATGTCAGTCGCCTGATGGTGGAATGCAATGAAGTGCAACCCCCCCGCCTCCCTGATACATTAATGGCAGACATTTGTGGCATGTGACTCCCAGAGTTCCCTCAGGCATTCTGATGAGGCTTTTAGTCCAAAAAAAGTGCCTGTTCTGATCTCTGATAACCCAGCTTGGCGTAATATTGTTTAAAATTCACTTATTTTTCCTTTTCAGAAGATGATTCTGATTCTGATTCTGACTGAAAAACTGCACACTGTGGAACTGCAGAACCACTACAAGAGGAGAACAAACCTTTCTTGTCATTTTAGCCTTTGTGACCTCACGAACATCGTTTTTCCCCAGTATTATACAGAATGTCAAACTCACTCCTGAGGATCTTCCAATCTCATGGAGTACTTAATCAGGAAAAAAACTGATCTACGGCAGTGTGAGCCTATAATATACTTTCTGCAACTTTCCATCATTCCGCACTATTGACGGTGCATGAATGTACCACTTGCAAGACTGGCCCTTTGATGCGCAAACTATGTAACTGAGGCTCAGGCTGCATGTTGCAGATTAGGGATGAGGAATCGGCTTGGTACAGCAGAGAACTGTGATTATTCTTGTTGACACGGGGGGGGGCGCTTCTTGAAAAATGACTTTCTACACTGTGGATTTGTAAGGACCACAGCAAAAACAGAGAATGTAACCTTTTTCTCCCCTATTGTAATCCTAAGAAAATTCTTCCACTCAAGCTAGCATTTCTTTCAGGGGAAAATCGTAATGCTGGTGGGAATTTCCCCAGAGGTAAATTCCAGCTTCAGAAACTTCTCTCAGAATTACAGCAAGGCTAAAACTGTTAATTCCATGAATGCTTCTCTAATCCACATAATTTTTAGCTCCTCCCTTGCCACCTGAAGCTATTTCCATATTAAAAACTTTCAAATTAGATGCAAATATATCTGTAATGAGTGATTTCCCCAAGACATTGAATAACTGCTGGGAGTCAAATTAGCTACTGTTATCGAAGACATATGCCAATCTGGTGTTCTCCAGACATTTTAGACTACAGTGCCTATCAGCCCCAGCCCACACAGGCTGTTGCCTTGGACAATGGGAATCATTGTCTAAAACATCTGGGAGAGAGTCCGGTTGCCAAATTGCAGCATAATGGCTGAAACGCCAACTTGCAGTTCCACAGGCCAGAGAGTGCCCTGGTTAAAATAACTGGGCTTCCAGTTGCACAGCAGGGCAGGGAACACCAATCTGTGCAAGAAGCAATCCTTTGCCTCACAGAGTATTGTGGGTAAAACCAAACAGAATTTTGGCCCAGGTGGAGGAAGGTGGAATAGCCCAGGCTGGGCTGCACAGACTAATCACAGTTATTGCATGATTTTGAAATGATACAGGTACTTTACAAAAAAAATGGCAAGGACATGTATTAGTCCAGATTTATTTTTCAAGAGTGTTAGACAAAGTTCATTACTGTATCTGCTTTTCCTTTGCCATCTATCTGACACTTTAAGCAGTACGAGCAATGCAGTTCTCAGCAGTGACGATCCAAAGTGACAAGGGTGAACGTATGGATGAGATGTGCCAGACACTAGTAGAGCCAAATATTTTTTTATCAAATGGAGTTGCTTCATTGGAAAGAAGTAGTGGAGAAGAATGTTAAATTGGGACATGATTTTTTATTAAATTGACTGTTGTTCTTAGTGAAAAGAAAAAAATTGACTAGATTACAAAAAAGCATGAACTAGAATAGTTAACAGGCAATGATTAAAGATCTTATTGCTAGTGTAATGTAAGTGGTGTAAACAGTATAGCTTTTGGCAGTGAATGGCTGAAAGTTATGGAGTCAGTGTAGACATGATCGACATCCTCTTGCTTAGTTATGTAAATGGCAAAAATTACCCCAAATTAAAAAATAACCTTAGACATTATCAGTTGCATGCTGAGTCATACTACTGAGTATGTAATGTCTGTAGTGATTTCTTAATTTGGCACAATTTGCCTCCAAAACTTTTGGCATTTGCATGTCTACACTGACTTCGTAACTTACAGCCATTCACTGCCAAAAGTTCTACTGTTTACATTAACTTATGCCATTTGTGCTACACCAGTGTAATTAGGCAAGAGGATTGCGACATATCTGTTGCACACTGAATGCAATTCAATGCAAAAAGTCAATGGAAAAAGTGGCAACATTTAAGCTACAACAGCAATAGGGGTTTGGCCAATATTGAAACAGCAGTTCTGAAGAATAGTAATACAAACTTCAGTATCACTATTGGGGGAGAGTAACAGATATTCATATTCATGAAGAAAAGACAGAATAAAGAATTTTGGACATGGCTTCTGATTAAATCACGCCTTAAATATATCACTTACCTTTAAACCTTTAATTATGGTTGCTATAAGCTGGTTCTAATTTGACAGCATGTAACGTACCTTTAAACCTTTAATTATGGTTGCTGTAAGCTGGTTCTAATTTGACAGCATGTAACAAAAAAAAATTCCTCTATACGTGGACCATATGTGAATTTCCAGATGTTGATTTCCAACAGCCCTAGCCGACGTAATCTATGGCAAAGAATTGTGGGAGTTGCAATCCAACGGCATATGGAGGTCCACACCCTGCCCACCCCTGCTTTACAGCTTTATAACATGTTAAGCTGTCTCTGCTGCACTGCCTTCAGTTCTAAGACCCACATTTGAAGGCGCGCATTGTCAAGTTTGAGGACGCTCAGAGAAGGGCAGGCAAGACAGTTGGAAAAGAAGTCGCATAAGGAACTGTTGAAAGACGGGTAAGTTTGCCCAGAGAAGAAAAGATTTGGGCAAGACATGAGAGCAGGCTTCATGTATCTGAAGGTCTGGCAATGGGGAGTTAAGAGTAAATTGTCCTCCAGACCTTCAGATGATAAAAGTACAATCCAGTGGGTCCACAGCCTGGAACTATGGGGGAATTTAGTTTGTATGGGAAAACTCCTTAATGATAAGAGGTGTTGGGCACCTGTTGCAACACTGTTGTGGGAGGAGGTGCTTTATTGATTCTTGGATTGAAAGACGTGTTACAAGTACAGTTGATTTTCAGATAATGAGGGTGTGAAAAGTTACATTTCAAAAGTAACATAACAGGACTGAAATTGTATTGTTGATGTGAGGATTAATGTCTTTAAAAAGTTACAGAAAGGAACAGTAACAAGTAATGATCAGTACTGTAACCATGTTTTTCTACATTGTAATGGTAGAATCATTATACTATGTTTCATACAGTACAAGTATATGGTAAAGAGAACAAAATACTCTTTAAAAAAACTTTCGAAGTGCTTGTTCTCCTTCACTGCAGTACTTAATTGTCATGTTTTCAGAGATTGGTTCCCAACCCATGTGTTCTTAAATTTCAAAAGCTCCTAGCCAGCACACTGGGACTATAAAGTCCATGAACATCTGGGGATATAAGGTTGGGAACCACTGCTCTAGGATAAAATAACTTGTATTGGGTAAGATATGAGATTTTTTTTTATCCTAAGGAGAATTCAAATGTCCCCACCCCATTTGATTTCCCTCTGTGATGCCAACCTGCTGACAACAGGAAAATATAAATAGACGATGGCTGGTACAACGACATTCTTCACTGAACAACAATTTGGGCTACATGACCACTAAAGACACTTTTACCTGCTATGACACAGGGAATTTGTGTTTCATCGCCTTTTATCAACTCTATAAGGCTCATCCATTGGTGTGAAGAATTATGACACAATGTATTATTACACAGCATTTAGCACATACAGTGGCCAGGATCCTATTGGCAAATGATGCGTAAAAATGAAATAAGTTGCAGCCGCTAGGTGCCAGCAATTGAAAGTGTTGGCTGCATTCCTGATCATGTCAGGTTGCATGATGGGCATGCACCCTGGAACACAACTGCTACAACAGAAATTAGTGCTAATTCATAGATTATACCATTTCACTTACACATGCATCAATCACTATTAGTATTCTGGCCACGACATTCTAATGCATGCAATATTAGCTTTGTAGATATAGAAATCATTAATTGGGAAAGCTTTTGAGTGAATTCTGCTAGCAGGCTTCTAGCAGTGCACCAAAGTGCTTTGCATTAGTGGCTCACCTGGTAAGACCATTACCAATGGACTGAATGCTGACTCGTGAAATGGGTTTCTGCCTTTTTAAAAACAGACACTTGAATGTGATTTTGTATTATGTGAAACTTACCCACTGTACTTCAGCATATAACATTTATGAATCATGCTGTAATAAACTGAATCAATATAAAATTATATGTACAGGGTTTTGTTTTTATTTCAGACTTTTTATTAATCTTTCCAATCAGTAATCATCAGGCAAACAAATAAGTACTCAGAAAATATGTATAAATGCAGGAGTAAGTGACACCTTTATTAGATCACTAAATAAAGCAAATAGATAGCTTTCAATGATCATTCATCTTCACCACACTGTGCACAAAGATAAAAAGTCCCATTGTACTAGAAAGTTGCAATCAAGTTTTACTGAATGTAGTTTTTGACCAGGTGGTTTGTATATGTCTATAAAGGTTTTGATTGGTTGATAAAAAGTCCCAAAGTTTCATGGCATGGCTGTTGTTCATACTAGGGTAGTTTTCTTAAGGTGGGTTGAGCAGTATGTAGAGACCATGTGGACTTGACATGCATTATATTTGTTAAATACCTCCATTTCCAAAGTAGATTTGTGACATAGTCCAGTTTTTCCACTTTCCTAATTATCTCTGAAGACATGTAACACATATTTCCTTGTACAAATAAGATGCTTATATACTAATAAATAAAGCCATATGTGTGCTACTGCACAGGCTGGGTTCAAATGCTCAATAATGTACAGGAAGTTTATGCAAGGGCCAAAATTACACACCCATCTCTGAAATTATTTGCAAAATCTTACATGCAATTCTTAGCAGTACTGCAGCAGTGTATCTTATTTTGGACTGCTCTGGACTCAGTACCCAACTTCAGTAGCACAACATAGTTTCACATTTTGAAGAACTATAATTTATGATACCTAAGCATAGTCTTATAGTCTTGTGAATTTATGCAAAAATGAAACATTGACCATTACAGTATTCTCTTTGCTTGGCCACTATCATGGATGGAAACAATTGTGAGCCATAGCAGAAGATCACTCAGAGGGGAGATACTGTAAAATGATAAGTCATAATTCAATCAAAGCATATACAAAGAAAGCACAAGTGCATTTGTACTTCTATCCATTTATTAAACAAATCTTTTACAATGACTCCATACAAGATTAGTGTACAGAAAACCTACAATTTATCCTATGTATAAAAATACAGATTTTTAGCAGACAAGTACCATGAAAATTTTATTTCAGTGTCTTGGTGTATCAAAAAGTATGTAGGAGAAAGTACTGTTGATCAGAAAATAGGGTAATCATATCAACTTGTGAATCTCACACACATACATACAAAAGTTGTGCTAATATACAAAGCAAAACTTATAAAAGTACACTGCATAAGAATAAATTTAAACAGATATGAACAAGCAGTGATTTATTGATTGCCTTCAGTATCATAATATGTAAAAATCATTATAATTCATCTTGAAATGTATAAATGTATAATTATATTGCAAACGAGAATGAAGTGCATGGCATACAGCTACTACTCGCCTTCATAACATTTTGGAACGGCTAAGGATTAAAGGTATTCACAGCACAAATAGGAGTCCTCAATAAATGTTGCACATTCTAATATTTAAACTTTGCATGCTCATATTTCAATACTAAACCAGAACAGCAGGGTAAGTCTTTTAGTCTTGTTTGACAGGGTATTTTTTAATACGGAGCCCAAGTAAGTAATGTTTCCTGGCACTGGCAAGAACAATGGACTCGTCAATGCAGTGTTGCTATGTGCAATGTTCTCTGTCCCCACTTCCTACATAAGACAGGTAGGGTACCAACTGTACGAGGGCTGAAATGCCACCACCACAAATACTTACGCTGGCCAGGTCAACTGATTGACATTTAGATTATCAGAAGAGGCATCGGTGGTCACTAAGATCTCATTCATACATTGCTACAGCAGCATGACGGTCAACTGTTTCCATACTATTCAAACAGTGCCTTATGGGAGGTACAAAGCCATTTTCAATTGAATGGTGGAAGCCTGCCCATGCCACTTTTGTAACGAAGTGCTCTGGCTATCAATGGGCAGAGAAGTTGAAGATTTAAAAATGCAGCAAGTGATGCCATGAACAGAAATGTAAAGGATTATAGTGAAAATCTCTGTGAGGTAATTACATCAGTTTAAGGATTACTTTTCTTAATATAAAAGTTCAATGATTCATTGCTGAACAAATCAATCTATGTTTAAGAATATAGTATCCTATTGAATTCCCAGGATGAAAACAAATTCAGCTGAAATCAACAACAGCACTTATGGAATCAAGAATACAATCATAAAATAATTGAGTTAGAAGGGGCCTAGAAGGCCAACAGGTCCAACCCCCATTCAGTGCAGGAATCCAAATCAAAGTAGAAACTTTACCTGAAAGCTGCAATTGGAAGCAACTTTCTAACCTCAGTCATAAGCAAATATACTGTAAATTAGGTCCCAAGCATTTCAACTATAAGGAAGAACATTTAGGTTCACAAGTCTTGTCTATCAAAAATATTTTATACTTTGGAGCTAGACTTTGGATTTTCTAACTCTCTTCTGCACTTAGTGAGTTATTTCAGAGTGCCCAATAAATTCAGAAAGAAGCTAATAACAACTGTGGGCCTTAGGATAAACTGTTGCATGAATCCATATTTTCATTTGCAATATTGTATACCTAAGGAGGGGTTTAACAGGTCTTAAAAACCAGCCTGAAGATAAATATGAGAAATACAGGACAGCTAGCCTCTGATGAACCGAGATAACATTTTTGGTCACATTTTTGGCTACTTCTTCCAAAACTAAAACCATGCATATATTTAAACAAGTCTGTTGCAGTATGTCAATTGAGTAAGACAGAGAAGGACTGCTTTTACTTGGACTGGTTGTGGAAAATTTAATCCACACTTTCACTGGTTTTCAGAAGCACTCCTTTAATACCTATCAGGGTGCATTAAAAAGCAACACAAGCTTGTTTGAAACTATTCTGATGAAGGGAAGAACAATCTATCCTTTAGAGTCTTTGCGACTCTGGGCACTTATTCTTTGCTGTTTGTTTCAGTTTGATCCCACATAGCTCAACTCTGTTTGGTTTTCTATTCAAACCCAATTGAATGGGGGGAATGTCACCTACTATATGCTATTGGACTGTGGCTCCCAGCATTCTTCACCAGAGGTTATGCCAGCTAAGGCTCATGGGAGATGCAGTGGAGCAATATCGGAGACATTGCACTTTAGCCACCCCTGTACCAATGTGTGGCTAAAAACATTTGATTTTTCAAGCAGGGGATGGCAGTATATCTTTCTAATTTTGCCTGGAAAACAAAAGTCTTGACGATTTCATTAAGGCTGATGTTTAACAAAATCTCTTTAAATTTAAAATGTTATATTCATGGTTATAAGAATAGTGTTTGTATGGATAATCTCTATTTGACTGAAAAGCACTTATGTTGCACACATATACGTGCATACACACACACACACACACACACACACACAAAGGCACCCTGGGTGAAACTGGGTCTCACTTTACAACACAGTTGGGAGAGGGCTTACAAGTGTCAACTTTTCAAACCTAAACTTTGACAATATAATGAGTAATAAATATACAGTTTATCATTCATTATTGTATTTTAGCAGTTACAAAACTCCAATATATACAAATAAGTTCCATCCACAATAATGCAGATAAGAAGAAATGTGTCCACAGAATCCAAGTTAAGCACATAATTTATTCCTAGTTGATTAAGTGTGTGTGTGTGTGTGTGAGGGGGTTATAAAAGACATTAAAACTATTAACAACTCAAGATTTGTGCTTCCCTACATTTTTTCCACCAGAAAGTGCACTAATAGTGTAAGAGTGCTATAGGCATTCAATAAGAATGTATTAAGTATACTCCTTCAAGGCTCCAATATAAACACTGCACAAAGACAGTACTTAAGAAAAATGAAAACTAGACTGTTATAGTCTGAACTGCTTTGACCACGGAAATGCAGACATCATTTAATTTTACAGAAATGTTTCAACACGGAAATTTTCAAACTCCACAAGAGAAAACCTGAGATGAGCTTCCCATAATTCACAATGCAATCCAACACATGCACTTAAAAACAAGCCCCATTTAGTTCAAGTAAATGGGCAAACAACTGAAGACTAAGCCAAATGAAAGTGCTGAGACACTCCAATTAAGAAAGCATGATTTGTCTCAAGTTCCATTCTAAAACGCATGCCGGTCCCCATCCACTGGGAGCTTATGAAAATCAAGGTACAAGGGTCCATATTTTATCTCTTTCACCAGGAAAGTCATGGCAGTCGGGTAAGCCCAACACCACTCCTAAAACTGTGCAGTTGGTTACCAACATATCAATTGGCTAAAAATGTCATGGAACCAAAATAATCAATGTACTAAAATATATACTCTCTCTCTCTCTCTCTCTGTCTCTCTCTCAGTATCCATTAAAGAGAATTTGTTTTTCAAATCCTGAACATATTTAAGGCTTGAAAGGAAAAAAGGGCACTGGCACTTCAAAGCAACCTCCTATCTTTACATTCTGTACATACTCAATCATTGTCCTCAAATAAGTCATACCTCCAAACAGAAGTCAACCCATAAGACATTAAAAATGGTTAATTCTAGTATAGGTATATAGTACTAGATCAAAGCAGATGCTGCAGATAAGCCAGTAAGTACAGCTAAAATCTCATTAGTGCTCAAATGAAATCAGAATTGCAAATAAAGAATGCATTTGACTGAAGACCACATGCCAAACAAACCAAGCTAACAGGAAGTCAGGAAAGACTGGCGAAAATCCTGTTACTAAGCATAGTAACTTGCACTTGGAAGAGGCCCATTTTCTATGGAACTTGCAGATGTGTTGACACACCAATCCCCAATGATTCAGTGGGTCTGCTCTAGTATGACTTAGTATACTAAGCAACATGACTTCAGCCACCATTTAAGTGAGACTGCCCTCCTGTGACAATCACATATAACTCACATCTAAATAATTATTTCTTCTAGTGATGGATTACCTGTAACATATAGTTTGGCTCTCGTTTCAAACAAAAACTCATTGCCCACAATGCTTGCAAACCAGGCAAATTTACACACAAGCAAGCAGTTTAAAGTCAGGCAACAAATGGATTTAAGATTTTCAAAACATGTACAAATATATTCTGTTACCATATTTTAAGTCCTTACAGATGGCTTTGCAATCACTTTCTATATTCCTATTTAAATGTATGCATTACCAACAAAAACAAGAGTTATTTTAAATGTGTACACAGTAATTTACTTACATCTAGTTATATAGTTTACTTTCTTTCTTTGATAGTCAGACTCCATAAACAGTAGATTATATTACAAGACAAATTGCTTTGGAAACACTGCTGAGTTTTAATGCAGCTTACAAAGCAACATCAAGATATGTCACACTTTGTGAACACCTGCAACTATCCTCATGGTATTGGGATCATGGACTGTTAGTCCAATAGTGTCACCCCACTCCTTCTCTCAAAATTCAGCAGGGCCCTGGAAACAAAATCTCACATCAGTATTATACTGTTGCAGGGAAGTATTTAATTTCAAAGTAGTAATGGTTAAAAATGTTTGCTAATAAGCATGCTTTTAAGGAACATACTGTCAAGTGTACCATGACTGACTCAATCTCTTGTTTAAAATATACACTTTCATGCCCTTTGCAACTATTTCATGTACCGTATAAGGCGACTGGGTGTATAAGATGGTCCCCCAACATTCCCACTCAGAATGTAGAGTTTGCTATATACTTGCTGTAAAAGACTACCCCCTCTTCCGCATGCATGATTCTGCTTTGGCTGCATCATGGGGAAAGTTCCTTTTGCCCCTTTTGGTTCCTTTTCTGAGAGATGCCAGGGTTTGCTGGAAGAAGGAACAGCAGAGAGGCGGCAGCCATTTTGGAGAGGCAGCAGCCATGTGGTCACATGTCAAAATGGCTGCTGCCTCTCTGCTGTTCCGACAGTCAGCTGTTCGGTGCTAAAGTCAGGCTGTCCCCAGGCTAGGAGTGGGGCTCTACTGGGTCTTACTACCAGGTAAGTGACTTCGCTGGGAGAGAGGGAGGGTTTGCTAGACATGCACCCAGCGTACAAGACGACCCCCCCACTTGGAGGCATGTTTTTCAGGGCCAAAAAGTCATCTTGTATGCTGGCAAATACGGTATCTCTAATTTAAATATTTTGGTCCCAAACATTTAAAATGGAAGTTTCAAGTTTACATTTGTGTGTAAATATAAGACCCTTCTTTACAGTATTTTTCTTTTTAAGCACCTCACAACCTTTAAAAGTATATTTTCTTTGATACTGAAAATGTACCTTTAAATAACAGCAGCTACTAACCGTAATACCTATATAAAAGGATGATGATCCATGTGAGTTCTGTGCTGTCAAGTTACCTCCCACTTATGATGGCAACCCTAATATGGCTTTCAATGTATGTGCGATGTGCAAGGAGTGGTTTACCATTGTCACCTTCCCAGTGAATTTTCATGGACAAGTAGGGATTTGAACCCAAGTCTCCTAAGTCCTGGTCCATCAGTCTATCACACTGGATTACTAAAATGATGACAGATGATCATACATGATGAAAACAGTAAAGCATATTTTGCAAGTGTGCCTTCTGATGGGAGATTAAATGCATTAGTTTCCAAATTAACCTGTAACATCTCTCAAGACTTCCTCAGGGAGGGGAAAGATATATTAGCTACAGAAATGGTTCTTGGGCAGCCTTAAAAATAACTACCTCAGTCTTAAAAATCAAATAGCAAATATGAATATACTACTTTTGAGTTTGTCAGCTATGGCAACAGAGTCTTCTCCTGTTCTCCCACAAATGACAAAAAGTAGAAAAGTTTATAATAAATTTCTGGGATTGTTAATTGAAATATTTCTCTACACAGAACTTGTCAGCTGAGCACATTTAATGCCCAGTGAGCAGTTCTAATGTGAATTATCTCAGTGTTATTACTTTTAACTATGACAGATTACACACAGAAACAGCTTTAGAACAATTCCTTTGGTATCTATTTGGTAGACATGGGTGCTTTGCTATTTCAATCCAAGACAAAGTGTGGCACCACAGGTGGTGCAGATTCCCTTTCCCCCACCCTTGGGCCAGCTGCTAATCAGGCTCCATCCATCGCTGAGGTCCTTCAGCAGTGACACACCAATCCAGGCAGAAACCCAGCTGGCCTAAGCCCCCCTCCCCAGGCAGCCGACCACTCCAGCAAGGAGATGGGATGGGGGGTCTCCCTGTGCAGTCAGTGAACGGTCAGCTGCCTGGGAAGGTAGGGCAAGGCTAGCCAAGCTCCTGCCCAGATTGGTCTGTCACCACTGAAGAGGGACCTCAGCAATGCGCAGAACCCAGTTAATGACCCAATCAGCCCACAGGGTGGGGGAAGGGAATCCGCACCACCTGTGGTGTTGCACTTTGCCTTAATAAAGATGCACTCGTGTCTACTATGGGGCTATTCATTTATCTTGGTGAGAGGGCATTTTCAATCCATAAATATAAGGAACCATAAACTGTTTCCTTACTACAGTCATCCTACAGAGCTATCAGTACCAGCTATCTCTGCACCAGTAACTCACTGAGAGCAGTCGCAGTATGTGGTTTCTAATAAAACAAAATGTTAAATCACGTACACAGTAGAACTATTGGATTTCTGAGAGGCTGACTCAATGGGCTGTTTAGCCCACTCTTTGGAGCACTGCAGGGATGAGCTAAAAGACAGCTATCAGATGACATATTTGCTGGAGTTCACCAGGCCTCTCCTAAAGCATCCTTACCCACATACTTCTGGCCCCTGTCAAAAGGCTTCTACTTGTCTGGAGTGGGTAGGATTGCTCCGACTGCTAAAGTAAACTTTCCTCTTTCACTTCAAGGTATTTGCAAATTAATCACTTCCCCTGTTTGACAGAGGGCAAGGGAAGTGAATATATATATATATATTTTACTGTATGTAGACTATAACTGATGCCCTACATCAGTTATAATTTTTTTAAAAAAATGTTTCTTTGCCATACCTTAAAGAACTAGTCAAGAAACAGCCCAGAATCAAATCCATGGTGGTGGCTTCAGCTGCAAGCATTTTCTCGACTGGCCCTTTAAGAGAAGCCAAAGAAATGATTAAAAATAATAATAACTGATGCAGAGCATCAGCAATAGTCTATATACGGTAGAAAAACATTTTAAAAAACTTTCCTTGCCCTCTGCTGAGCAGGGGAAGTGATTCATTTAACAATATCCTGAAGTGGCTCATTTATTTGAGCCACTTCATGATATTGGAAGAAGCTATTTCCATGTGAACGGTCAGTCTTGATTAGATCATTCTAATGATTAGACCATTCCCAAGCAATCTGCACTAGCTCACTCCCTGCTGCTAGTGTAGTTGTACCCTGAGTCACATTTTAAAGGCCCGAGACATTTAAAAACCACATATACTGTTTTTAAAATTTTCTGCATATGGATTTTTTTTTATCTGAGAAAGGTCTTTCAACCAGCTATGCAAATTGATTATTTAACGTACTTTATTCCAGAATATGCAAATGTGGAGTTCTCAGAATCCCTCACCTTTGGTTCTGCTAGCTAGGGCTAATAGGAGGTACAGGCCAAAAATATCTGGAAGGTAACGTTTGTTCCTACACTTTCCAGATGTTGTTGGATTGCAAATCCCATAAATCTTGGCCAGCATATGAAGAGGTAAGGAATACTGTGACTGAACAATACCTGGAGGACTGTACCTCACTCATCTCTAATCCCATCTAACCACTAGAGTTGCTTCCCACACAACAGTCACACATTCTCAAACTTATCTCAATGCTCAAAAGACTTCAGACAGCTTTGGAGTTTTTTTTAAAAAAAGAAAGGCAACTGATGCTGGGTCCACACATATCTTGAGTTGCTGACAGACCTTTCGGCAGAGGAGGTTTACTCCAAGTGTTTAGAAAGCTACAGGAAATTGGATGGATTAACATCTTTAACATTTTTAAGAATCAATTAAAAACATGGATGTTTAGGCAGGCCTTCCCACCAGATAATTCCTGACGCCCTCTTTTTTTATTATTATTATTGTATTATCTTTTAATTGTTGTTAGCCGCCTAGAGTGGTCCTGACACGACCAGATAGGTGGGATATAAATGAAATAAATAAATAAATAAATCTTCCACGATTAAGATGCAAGATCCATGCAAAATAAAATAAAATAAGGAACTGCTAATACTACCCAGCCAAATCAGCCACTACCCTATAATTGGTGACATTCAACCAACATGCAGAACATAACTTATAGCTTTGGTGGAGAACTGATGTGTACTGTCATTAAGGAAATGCTGCTGACATTTTGAGAAAAAAACGGTATTAACTCTTACTGACTTTACACATTCATCTTGGTGGTTGACCTAAACACCAGATGCAAGAGACAGGAAACACAAAGCCAAAGAGACCCTAATTACTGGCTCCACACTCCCTATTCGTAAAGTATGCTATTTTTCCCATGAAACCTTGCTGAGAAGATGGACAGAAAACCAGAGTTATATAAAATGGTATGTAAACAAAGTGAACCACATAAATGCTACTCTGCCCATGTTAACTTGCAAAAGTAGTATTCATCTGTGGACAATTATTCAAGCATTCCATAGATTTGCTTTCATGCCTATAATGTTATTATGCCGGTAATCTCCAGCTAAATTAGTCTAGATAGTAATTCAGAGAAAGAGAAGAGACTAATTTGGACAACTGACATTTGCAACAACAAAAAAGCTTCAGAATAACAGTTGTTATTATCATGTAATATCAAGTTGGTTCTGACATGGCAATTCTCATAGGATTTTCTAAATACAGTATGTGAGACATTCAAGGTTTACCACTACCACTCCACAATAAACTTCCATGGCTGGGCAAGAATTTGACATTAACCTCCAGATTTTAGTCTGATACTCTGTCCATCACATTGAATCTCCACATAAAAGTACCATTTCAGAAATACTGCAGCACATGGACACAAATGTTCCTTAAACTTAAGGTTGAATCTAAAAGGGTGGCCAGCTTTTGACAAACAGAGCAGGTCCAACACCAAATTCGTATTATTCTTCCGAGTGGATGATGAGCGGAGTGGATGTTGGTGTTAAATCCCAGGTCATACCTGGCTGTATTTACAAGTGGTTTGAGATTTATGTTTTATCTATGGTCCAAAAACTTACTGAGGTGCATTCAAAAATTCTTCAGTTACACATCTGGCATGGCTGCCTGCTGTTAGACACAGAATAGAACTATAGGAGTGCAAGATTTCAGTTAGCTGGCAGACCTTATTACAAAAATGTACAGAGGAATTGTATAATCTAATATCCAAATGTTATTATTGCTACCTGTCTCCCAAATACATCTTCTCTATTGCTGAAAACTATCTGTTTTGAAAGCATAGTATTAATTCTGAGGCTTCTACTGGATGGTGGAAATGCACACTAAGTATCCTCTCTCTAGGTGTACTAACACCATGCACCAAGATAGTCTTCATTTTGATGCATCTTTCTCTTCTTTTGCAGACAGGTTTGCTTTCTTTAAGACCAGTCATTAGAGTTTTAATTTCAATTGCTATCAAAAGCCTTCTCCCTCTTTTTGTACATGTGTTGCTCTTGGCCACCACATGTTCCTCCTCTTTTTTCTAAAAAAGTGAGCATTATTATTTTTAAAAGGTCTGAAGACTTCTATTGCAGGTATTCCACTTTGCATATAACATTCACCCATCCAGACGTTGAATCTCTGGGCGATGATCTGCTTCTCTGGATTCAGTCCGTGCACGCATATAATCACTGGTTTGTCGTGTGTTTTGCTGTTGGCTATTAATTCTCCAATTTTTAACTGCTAAAAAAGAATTCACAGCATAGATGGCAGTTGCCAGGAAACCAAATATCTAAAGAAAAAGAGAAAGGAGAGACATTTTCATAACAAAAACACTGCATTTGTACTACTGGCTTTAATGTTGCTGTCAACCTTCAGAAACTAACTATATAGCTTGCCGCATGTTATTTCTCTTCAAGTACTTTGAATACAAGCCCAAAAATATACAGTGGGGTCTTGACTTACGAACGGCCCGAGTTACGAACATTTTGACTTACGAACCGCTCTCATAGGAAAATACTGACTTGACTTATGTACTTAGACTTGAGTTACAAACTGAAACAAAAAACGGAAAAAAACCACGTGGGAGGCAGGGAAAGTGCAAAATTTGAACTTTCAGTTAACTGTTGGCCAGTGAAAAGGGTGCCTGTCTGCTTCCTGACTCCTCCCAGCGTTTAGAGAGTGGATTGGGAGACAGTCTTCAGACTGCCTGGTACTGCCTGGACTGTATTTTCCCTGCCTTCCCTGAACCTGCGGTTTGTATTCTCGATATGGCTGAAAAAAAGAAACAAAATATCCCCCTCTAGTGGTCGAAGGCGGAATAGCAGCTTCCCATTAGTTTCTATGGACGGAAAAGAGCAGATACGGATCAAATGGTTTTCAAAGCATTCCTATGGGAAATGCAGATTTGACCTGCGAACCTTTTGACTTGAGAACCGCCTTCCAATACGGATTAAGTTCTCAAGTCAAGACCCCACTGTACACCTGTTTCTTTTGCCTGGTAAATCAACTGCTATTTTTTTCACCCTAATTTTCTATTCATGGGTAGCTTTTAGGAGGGGAGACTCCCAGGTATCACATCTGAATATTCTAATGTGACTTCTCTAGAGCCTTAAAGTAAAGAATCCATACATACTCCAAATGGTTTCCACTAAAAATAACAGGTTAGCCATTGGAGAATGGCGAATTATCTGAAAAGCTGGGAAATCTGTAACCCTCCAAATGATGTTGGGCAATGCCTATCAGTCCCAGTCAGTAGAGTCAATAGAAGGATAGAATGGTAGTGTAACTGAAGGGCTACATGTTACTTACTCTTGATACAGAGTCTGTTGCTCACTATCTGCTTCTTATGAAATATACCATATCTCCAAAGCTACTGTAAGAATGCCACTAAAACTCAATGTCAACAGCCATTCTGTGATTTTAGTAATGACATATTTACAAATCTAAAACTAGGAGGATTGAGAGTTCAGCTTTTCTGAACAAATCAACTGCAACACTGCTCAGATGCAAAAGGGACTCCTAATGTCCAAACATGTTCTGAGCCCAGAAGCTGAATAAAGTTAAAGTGTGATGCATAATATGACAGTACTGGTATGTAAATATTACCTAATTACTAAATAAAAATGTGTTCTGTTTTATGTTTAAAATATTGATTGGTGAGAAAAGTGGGGGTGTCTTATACATGGAAAATATGTACATAAAATCTTTCCTTGCCTCAGAAGGATTGCAGAACAGAGATAACATTTCCTAAATCCAGAACCTTATCATTTGTAACCTTTGAACCTCTGAACTGCAGAGCTGGAAGGGACCCTATGGATTAAGGGAATTTTTGTGTATTTTGCATGTTAATCCTGGTTTAAGATTTTAATGGTGGAAGTTGCCTGGGTTCTTTTTAAGAAGAAAAGTGGGGTAAAAATATTTTAAATAAATAAAATAAATAAATAAGATTTTCTAAAAAAATCGGGGTGGTGGCAATGACATGAAAAAAGAAAAGAAAATCTCTCCTTCACAGTTTTGGAGTTTCTTCCCAGGCTTTCTCAGATTGAGAGAAAGAAGCTGATAATCCAGAAAGTAATGGGCAGCAACTCCAAAGGAGACTGAGGTTTGTGATAACAGCATATCTGACGAACTAAAAAAAAATTTTTTTGAATCATCAATATTACAAAATTTTTATTTAAGAGTTATTTCTCAGTCTAAAACCAAGCTTAATAGTCCACAACTATTCTGCTACAGCAGCCAGAATGAAGTTGGCTTGGTTTTCTTTGAAGCCAAAATACTGAATAAATCAGCAAGCAAATCAGTAAATCAGTAAATATTATATTTATTACATACAGGAAATAAGTACATTTTAATAGTAAGAACCACTGATTGAAATTCCATGAGAATCAGTATACATTAGTGTGGAAGTAGCTTACAAAAATGGAAAGAGGAAGTAGATACAAAATTTAGCACAACTGCATGCTTTTGGCTTCAATATTCACCACTTGGCTGCCCTAGCATGCCAAAGCCAAAGATAAAGTACATCTCATTAAAGTTCTTCTCACAATGGGAGACTGAGTTGTTGCCTACAACATTTAGCATTATGAGGCTGATATAGGAGAACATGAAAAGGAGTTCTTACCACAGCTGCAATTTCTGCTGCTTTTTTATGGTTCAGTGCTGAAAGTACTACAGATGCAATGAAAAAGAAGAAAGTGCAGAGTCCAGTATTGACCAAATCCTATTAAAACAGAATTAGATAAATTATTTCAGTGACAATGTCAACTGACTGCATAAAACAGAAAATTTTTCATAGTTCCAATACAATAGACTTTTTTAATACAGAAGAAGCAACAAATACACAGAACACATTATGTGTGTATGTTCTGTACTGTCAAGTCAGAACTGCCTTATAGTGACCATGATAGGGCATTTTCAAGGAAAGTGAGATATTTAAGGAGTGATTTTACCAGTTCCAGTCCCCACTCCATGGCCAAGGGAGGATTAGAAGCCTGTTCTTCTGAGTCCTAGTCCATCACCCAATCCGCTATTGTACACTGACTGGGAATCCAAAGAACACATTATAAGCCCTAAAACATAATTACTACACAATAGTTTAAAGACTGGAGCAATTACTGGACAGAGAGAATAAATGCTAATAAGAAAGAGACACAGAGAGAGAGAGCTCTGTATTTTTAAAAGCCTGCTTCCACTCCAAGTGATGAACCTTTATGTGTCTACTCAACCAAAACTAGTATCTCCTCTTCTAACCACAAAATGTTATATGACCTATATACATGCGCGCGCGCGCGCGCGCACACACGCGCACACACACACACACACACACACACACACACATTTATCTGCTGTAAATGTTACCCTGAATTTGTTTCATCAAAGAAGAATGTCTCTTTGGGAACTTGTTTTTTTTCTTGTCAAAAAGGGTTCTGTGTTAATACTGTAGAATTAAAAGTTTAGGAACATTTTTTGATGTGTGTTTCTGTGTGACACTCAAAAAGTGGCTCAAAACCTAGGAAAAATTGTGTGTGTGTGTGTGACTCAAAACTGAAAAGTGGCTCAAAACTTGGGAAAAATTGTGTGTGTGTGTGACTCAAAACTGAAAAGTGGCTCAAAACCTAGGAAAATTGTGTATGTGTGACTGAAAACCAAAAAATGGCTCAAAACCTAGGCA